TCCGACGTGGATGACTAGACTGCAGTTAGGAACTCTGCCCTGCGACAGGCACGCGACCTAGGAGTTTGGACTGCAGTGTAAACTTGAGAGGGGACTGGACTCCAAAACGGCAGTTTGGAACGTATTTTCAAACTGTAACCCTGACCCCGCCCTAGTTTTCTCTACTTTCATCATATCTTATGATTTTGTTCGTTGGTTGATTTCGTCACCCTTGTTTCCATATATGTTCATTCTGTGTTCGCGTTGTCTGATGTGATTTCAAGTTTTAGAGATTGGTGGTAGCATATTTGAAAAGATTTCAGACGTTACAACTCTTTCATTCGATTTTCCTTACTTGCTATTATGATCATCATTACATCGTCCACAAAACTCATACCGTGGATAAGTTTCTCATCAATTCCAGTCTACGCACACCATCTGTACTCGTCGAACACGCATACCATATTGGCAATGGGTGGGCTAGAGACCTTCCCCATTGGTATCCTCATTACTTGGCGTAATAATGTTCCTTGTACTTTGAAGTTTGAAGTATGCGTGTTTGATGTCATAGTACAAAAGATCCATTAGGCACTCAATTTTGAATGTTCTCCATCCGTAGGTTCCGTTTGATTTTTCAAAGTTCATGTACTTTTCTCTCATCTTGTAACACGAGTGGGTTTTTCGTTTTTCTTTCGCCGTTTTCATCATCCATTGTATGACGTTTAAGATATGTGTGTGATAGAGATTCGAAAACATATCTTTGACATCGTATGTGGAGCAGATTATCGTAGTCATATCCCCGTATGTTTCTTTTGCTACTTGATTGCATTTCTTCAGTCTAGGTAGTAGTTGGTTCGTTCCTTTTAGTGAGAAACCAACTTTCAATGCTTCACATATGAAGTTGATAGCTCTTGATAATAACTTCGATGCTTTCCGATATGACTCCTTATATGTCAACACAATTGGTCGGCGTCTGGTGACGTCCTTGTTTTTTGGAATTGTATACGCATTTCCGTATGATCCCTATTCATCCCATTCTGCGATTTTCTTCAGCCCACATCCATGATACATATTTTTGCCAATTGAGTAATCTCAGATTTCGTTTCTTGTATAATTTCATAGTGATTCGATTCCGGAAAAAATTTTCAGGTCTTCTCGTACAAGATTTTACGGCATTCCATAAAAGTTTCTCCAGGATTTTTGTCCAATGGTGATAGGATACATTGTGTCAATCTTCTTTTTATTTCCCATACTTCTTATATGTGAAAAAAAATCTCCATATCATTCTTCTTTTTGATGCAAGTAGAGACATCTATTTTAATTTATCTTTTCTTCCTTAGTGGTCGTGGTATACTTGTAATGGTAGCGATGATTGTCCTTTTAATTTCTTCTTTTCCAATTTTTTTCGTTCATATGGGGTACGTTTTTTGCATTCCACAAGAGCTGATTTTCTGTGATTTTACTTAATCTGCAGGTAATGTGGTTCTCAATTTTTGGAAGTCGGGATACTGCACAATTACAGTCCGGTGCTTGTGTAAGCACCTGTCTGTGATTGTGTAATATTTCCCCGACTGTCTTTGATTTTTTAAACATCACACGCATCCGAGYTGTCAAATCGTTTGCYAAMTTGTTATTACTTAMGTTTTCCAAGATAGACTCGGTTGTTGTGTTTCTCACTTGCTTCAGATTAATGCATGCATCAAATGGAATCTTAAATATCAGCCTTCTCTTGATATTGAATGCAAACTTATTCTTTGAAATTCGTGTGAAGATGCCTTTAATTGTTCCTCTTTGCTTCTTTTCGGTAATCGATCCCACCTTTGACAAAAGAATCAGTATATCATCTAACGATAATTTATACAGTTCCCTCCATCTCCATGGTGCCCTCAAGCAGTTAATCAGAATATTTCTATGTTTGTTTGTTTTCGGTCCCGTATGCACCAGTTGGATCACATAGAAGATACATCTATTTTTTATTCGTTTTCTGTATTTTTTTAGCTGGAACTTAGTGTTGTCAATTTCCACAATTGTTGATCTGAATGTTCGTTTAATTACTTTTCATTTTTTATTTCATAGTTTTCCAGTTGTGCAGTAAATCATTGCTTTCGGTTAAAGTATTGATGTTAACTTCGTAGAGTGACCCGATCGAACCGATTTAAACAAAACAGGTATATTCTGATTCAGCTCATTGTTTTCATTCTTCTTCCTCTTTCTCCTTCTTCGTCTTCGGTTTTTCTGAGTCTTTCTGCCTCTTCCCCTTGTTTCAAGAATGGATTCAGTCTCCTAATCAGTGTTGCTTCCATCCCTATCACCTCTGATCTCACTTCCGTCCAAATGGGTATCAGGACATATTTCTCCCAACCAAATTTGTGCAGCCAACTGTATAGTTTCCGCTGTGCTCCTCTATTTGGATTCTTGGCTAAGTTTATGTGTTCAATCCATCTCTTGTTGGGCTGTCTTCCTGTCCTCTCCACGTACATATGTCTACACCAAGGTGAAACTCTCTGTACTAACTAGTTGCTCAATTTTCGTTGATAGTCTGTGTATCTGCTCCCACTTCTATGTCGTGGTGAGGTCGCCTGATGCTGAGGTGTCTTCTACCTTCTCGACAAATCTTCGGCGCTCGAAGATGTGTCGGATGAGTTACACTCATCACTCGCGCTTGATCTTGTACTAAGGCTCTCGTAATCATCCTCACTTGTGTCGCCACCAGTTGTATTGGACACTCTGATGTTATCTCGATCTGGCATAATCTGTGTTTCAAGATCAGAATCCCGGTTGAAGTCCCGCCCCTTGTAGGCGATCAATGCCGAGATCGGGGCTTGTCCTTGTACCTGATGTCATACATCTTGCATAAGACCTTCAAGTCCGTGTAGTGAAGACAAAGGAACTACATGTCCGTCATCGGTTCGACCCCAAAATTAATGCTCCGTTTTGCCTTCGACTTCGTTGCCGACATGTTGCGATTAATCTTCGTCCGTTCTCTCTTGGGGTGTTGAGGGATTACGCGTCCCAATCTGCTTTTGTTCGGTGCGCTTCTGCGTGGCATGCTTCGGCTCGGAATGTTGCGGCTACCATATACAAAAGTTGGTAGTCCAGCCATTGTCCACAAATATCCGTTCGGATGAACCGAAGACGACACGATCGGAGTGCAGGTATGAGTCGGTTCATTGATCTTCTGCAACGTGCCCTTCACAACCGCCAGATCATACTTTAGTAGCTTCAGGTTGTTGACCTCCTTCTGCACTTCCGATACCATCCTTTCTACTTATCTTCCGCCTCTGCATTCTTCTGACTGGTTGCGCTTGGACTAGCTTGATTCTGCCCCCCTTGGTTCATCTCTGTCGGCTTCAGTGCTTCATCGCGGTGCTTATAACTTGCGGGCGGTGAAAGTAAAACCTCGCACGTTTTGTCTACATTTGCATGTGTTTATCTCTATGCACGATGCTTACAACTTGCGGGCGGTACCTGCGATGATTGGCACGGTATAGACATGTCACTCTTCCATTTTACATTCACTGTCTTTATCGCATGAAGATTATTCGGCGGGTACCCTTTTCTTTCACTCCGCGTGGAGATTATTCGGCGGGTACCCTAAAGAAAAGCGTTACGAATGATGAGAGTGACATGTCTATATCGCGTGGAGATTACTCGGCGGGTACCCTTTTCTTACATCCACGCTATAGTAATCTCCAACAAATCGCCACTATGATATCACTCTTCCATTTTACATTCACTGTCTTTATCGCGGTATAGACAATGAATGTAAAATGGAAGAGTGACATGTCTATACCATGCCAATCATCGTGGGTACCGCCCGCAAGTTGTAAGCACCGTGTATAAAGATAAACACATGCAAATGTAGACAAAACGTGCGAGGTTTTACTTTCACAGCATACACATGCAAATGTAGACACAACGTGCGAGGTTTTACTTTCACAGCATACACGTAATGTCCATGGCATGCGACACCAGTCACGATTCACCTCACCAGGGATAGCCATCGAGGACATCGCCGCGTCAGCAACAACTAGCCGTAGCAAGCAATTGCCACGTCACCACTGGTAGTCACGTCAGCTAATGACTCCCACGTTAGCAAGAAGCAATCGCCAAGTGAGCAACGAAACTACCGACTTTTACCAGAATTCGCAGCCCGAAGGCTGCGGTATAGTTCGCAGTCCGTTAGGGATGCGCTTTCCCCCCCTGAGACATTCAACGTTCAACGTCAAATTTCAATGTCGTGGTCGTCGGGAGGGTGGTCATTTTTTGATTTGGGGCCTTGCAAGGGCCAGGACCGCGTAGGACCGGTAGCTGCGAGTAGGAGGCCGAGGAGGCCGCAGTCCTTTTTCAAAACTGAAACGGTGTGGGTAGTCCTTTTTCGAAATTGAAACGGTGCAGGTCCTACCCTTTCTATTCGAATTTCGAAAAGAAAAAACTCTTGTATTGCGATAAAATTACTTTTTCTTTTTGTTGGAGGTCAGCGCCTGCCCTTGTGCTCCCCGCCACTGACATGCTGCATGCTGCAGCGCTATCTCTCTCTCTCTCTCTCTCTCTCTCTCTCTCTCTCTCTCTCT